GTCCATGAAATTCACCATTTGAAAGATACAAGTTCATACATTACAGGTCATTTTTAGAAAGTCAATAAAAGCAACTTTTCTCCAAGACCTGTTACATTAAGATAACATCTTCAAATGCAAAATTGATCAAAATAGGGATTGAAGTAGACATCTTGGGCTTTCCAAAAATTCCAAGATCATCATCATGAGATGACAATTGAGTAAGTTATGGTTTTCCCAAGTTTGGAAAATTTGGGAAATTTCAAGAAATGTGCATTGAGCAAATTTATGCTTTTAAGGCAATGACTCATTTTCTTGGACTTCAAACATCTTCCTAAGAGTATAGAGGACTCCTAAAACCATTTTTGCATAGTCTTGATTTTATTTGCATTTTATATTAATTTTATTTAATTAAAAATCAAATAAATCAAAATTATTGCAAATTATATGGATCAATATGGTTAAGGCTTGTTTTAATGCATGGATGGGCCCCAATTTTCGTGTACAACAAGGCCATCATGTTTACATTCATTCAAAATTTAGAAATGGACAAAATCCCATGCTTTTGGCCAAGGTTACACATTTGTGTTCATGGCATTCAAGCAATTGATTGTGGCTATTACAAACTTGTTTTTTCATGTCTCCTCATTCCTCTTTATAAATACCAAGCCTAGCAAGCATCAGGACACGAACACATATTCTGGGGAACCTCTGAAAATTTTGCAAAAAACACCAAATTTGTCAAATTAGAATTTTAGTCTCCAGTCTGTTTTAGTCCCAAACAAGGATCCTAGTCCACTCCTGGAGGTCCCCTGAAGCTTTTCTGACCGTTACCAGGCTTTGAAACATTACAAAACGCTCCCTACAAGTCACAGTTTGCCATACTTTTCTTAACTTCGTGTTTTTATATTCTTGCATTATTAATCAATTTCAATTGCATATTTGTGTTTGTATGGATGCATAGAAGGTTTATGGATTGTCCAATTGAAACTTAGGTACAAGAATGGATTCCACCATTGTTAGGGTTCGGACCTCTAAATTGGGGTTTTCGCAATGGCCAAAATTAGCTCTAATTAAGGGCACCATCTTGCTCATGAGGATGAGGCCAATTGACCCATGGCCTCATATGTAATTTATATTGCGTATCATGAATTTTACAGGATGCAAGTGCTATAGTGATAGGCAAAAAACTGTCACTATAGGTCTCCAGGTCTAACACGACGGAGGGAGGAAGAAGGCAGTGTATGGCAGCCCCTCATTGGGCAATTTGAATTTGCGCACATTTTCTTTTTTATTTTAAATAATTGTTAGAAATTTAAATTATATTATTTTCGTTTGATATGTATAAACGAATGGATGATTGGCTCGGTTGGCAAAGCACGCTTGTGTGAAGGGAGAGGACTTGGGTTCAAGTCCCAGGTCCAGTATTTTATTTTTCTAACATTTCTTGATTGCAGATCAAATGTGCCTTACTATGCATGTCCAATATATGCCCCAGACCATGACCATCAAATCATGATTGATCCAGATCTGAGCGCCCCTATGCAAAGTCTACCATGCACCTTCAAAGCCAGTCCACACTGGATCCAATAGTACAAATCTGGGCTCCAACGTTTTGGGCCTAACCCTTTTCCAAATTGCACCCCCATTTTCCTTTAGCATTCCAGCCCATTTGGGCATTTTTGTTTTGTTTGTATTTTATTTATTTATTTTGTTTTCCTTTATCATTTAATTAATAATAATAATAAAAACTCACAAAAACTATTAGGCTTAGATTTTTTAAACAATTAATTGATTTAATTAATTAATTAATTAAATTTTAACTATTTTCTTAATTTAAAATGAACTAGAACTTAGAATTTAATTTAATCATTTTCTTTTCATAATAAAAATACAAAAATATTAGGATTGGTTTTCTTTTATAACCTAGAATAATTTTCCATTTAATATTTATTTTTCTTAATTAAATTTAGAATTAAGTTTTCTTTAACAAAACCAAAAAAACAAAAAGACTTTTCTTTACTTAGATTCTTAGACGTATTGTTTAATCTTGCGCGCGTTTATTTTACTTTCGCATTTTTATTGATAATGTAATTGTATCCTGGTATGTAATAGACTAAGTAGAGCTTTTTATCGCTTTCTTTATTTTTCTTTTCCCCCAATTTTGTACATTGTAAATACCCCCTCCTCGAAAGCCATGTAATAGTCTAGATTTACGCTTTCCGCATTTTACTTTATGTACATATTAACTGTTAGTAACTAGGCGTGTATGGAAAGACTAATAATCAAATGTTAGCAAACTTAACAAAAAGACAAAAATAACTGAATCAAACACACTTGCACATATACACCTCTAGGGTACCCCACTTTGGTTGCCTTTAAGAAATAAAACAGTCATGAGGCATGAATGTTTTAGCAAATACCCATAAGATCATAGTCCCTCGATGACCATACAGTTGCCTTTTGGTAAATGATCTAGTCCCTAAAAGAACATTTTTAAAGTGTCTCCACAAGTTGCCTTTGTGACTGTAACGTCCCTTCGATTGACCCTCAAACATCAGACGACAAAGCTACCTACTCATTAATTGTAGGATAGAATTGTCTAAAGGAAAAGAGGAAAAGAACGACCTTTTTCGAGTATAAAAGTAGATAGCTGATAGAAGTTTGCTCAAACATTTTGCACTTACACAAACACTACTTTTCAAAAACAATTTCAAAACACTTTGTATACTTTCTCCACCATCCTGAGAAATATTACAAAGTTCGTCGTACTAAGGCATTTTCAAACACAAAGCACAAAGGTATTTTTAAAATGATCAAACCTCTAAGAGCCCGTGGAAAACCAAAGATGAAAAGGGTGCTAACACCTTCCCTTCCCATAATCTACCCCCTTACTCAAAATTCTTGAAAAATTATTTTTCTGTTCTTTTCACCCTTTCCTTTGTTGGATAAAAGAAAAGACGGTGGCGACTCTTGCTTACCACAACATTTGCAAATACAAACGCAAAATCAGTATTAAACAGTCGATTCTGCCACTGTATCACAACATGATATGTGTTTTTCATCGAATCCCAAGAAACCATGGTTTTCTAAGGCAAACAAACTCAGATTCGAATTCAAAAAGTCGAATTAATGGGAGGTCGAATTAGGAAAAAAGATATGGGTTCACACTCGGGTCATGCTTTTGTTTTGTTGACATTTTTTTCTTGCAGATTTAGTGCTTTCCTCCATAGGCAAGTCATCAGACGCCTCCAGTAACATTTCTTTGCTGGATCGAAGGCCTGTCTTCACAAGATTGAAGGTCATCCTCCATGGATCGAAGACCATCATTTTCCTTGATCGAAGGATTCCTTTTCTTGCATTCATTCTTATTTTTATTTTTATTCATTTCTTTTAAATCAAAAAATCATAAAAAATAATAGACTTAGGTTTTCTTAAATTAATTTTAATTCTGTAAATTAATTAAGTTAATTATTTTTTTACTTTTATTTAATTAATTTAAAATCAATTAGACTTAGATTTATTTCATTCAAATCTTTCTTAACAAAAGTAATAAAAAAATATTAGAATTAGTTTTCTTGTACTTATTTAATTAATTAGGATTAAGTTTAGTCTTCCTCATTTTAATTTTAAGTCTTTTTTCTTAATAAATAAATAAAACCACAAAACAAAAAGATTTTCATTTCTTTAGAATTCTTAGGCATTATTTTCAATTTTGTGCGCGTTGTTTATTTTCACATTTTTATATTAATGTATCTGCTGACAGTATGTAATAGCTAAAACTATGACTCTTTACTGTTTTCTTTATTTTCTTTTCCCCCAGATTTTTGGACATGTAAATATCCCCCTCCCCGAAGCATTGTAATAGCGTAGGATTTACATTTTCGCACTTTTAATTCCTGTATATGTATTAACTGCCTAGATGTATGATAATAGGATTGCATGACAAGAGCCTAATAGTCAAACGTTAGCAAACCTAACTCAAGACTAAAATAACTGAACATAACACACATTGCACATATACACCTCTAGGATACCCCACTTTGGTTGCCTTCGGAAAACCAGTCATGTCCCTCGAAATGGGGACGCTTTAGCAAAGACCTATAAACCAAAAGATCACAGTCCCTCGATGACCCTACAGTTGCCTTTCGGTAAATGATTCAGTCCCTAAACAAAATTGCTAGAATGTCTCTACATGTTGCCTTTATGACTGTACGTCTCTTCGAATGTCCTTCATACATCCAACGATAGGGCTACCTATTCACTAATAGTATGATATCACTGTCTAAAGGATAGGAGGAAAAGAACGAACTATTTTGAGTATAAGTAGATAGCTGTTAGATGCTTGCTCAAAACGAATTTCTTACACTTATACATTTCAAAAACAACTTACAAAAACATTTGTTTTGTCAACACTCTTGAGGACTGATACAAGAGTTATCATAAAGTGAATCGCCGCACTAAGACATTTTCAAATACTTTTCAAAAACATAAAGCACAAGGTATTTAAAAAATGAGCTAAGCATCTAAGAGCCTGTAGAAAACTACGGATAGAAGGGGTACTAACACCTTCCCGTTCCATAATCTACCTCCCTTACTCAGAAAATTCTCGAAAAAATCTTTTTCCGTTCTTTTCACTCTTTCCTTAATTTGGATAAAATAAAAGTCGGTGGCGACTTTTGCTTACCGCAACATTTGCGAACACAAACGGAAAACCAGTATAACAGTCAGTTTTGTCACCATATCACATCATGCTTTCAATCTATTTGTGAAAATACTTCTGCAAATATGTGATAGAACCTTAGATCTCCATGATATGATAGACCACTTTTCCTTAAATTTACTAGATTATGGTACAAGCAATGTACTCGCAATTGCTCTTCAAGATATCGTTCATCTTTGGGATGCTAACAATAGCTCCTCTTCAGAACTTGTCACCGTGGGTAAGGAACATGGTCCTGTCACAAGTGTTAGCTGGGCTCCCGATGGTTGCCACTTAGCCATTGGTTTGAACAATTCCCATGTCCAGATATGGGAGACGTCGCCACTTAGCCATTGGTTTGAACAATTCCCATGTCCAAATATGGGATGTCTCCCTTGCTAAAAAGGTAAATATCATATTTGTTATTATGGTGCTATTTGTGTTGTTAATCATCATAATACATATGCAAATTGCATTAGAGGAATAAATAGCTTTTTGAAACGTTCTTTATTTTGTTTTAAACTTGAAATTGTTTTGAAATCTCATGTTTGCCTGCAGCTAAGGATATTAAAGGGGGGACATACAAGAGGAGTTGGTTCCTTGGCTTGGAACAGTCATATTCTGACAACAGGGGCAATTGATGGTAAAATATTAAACAATGATGTTAGAGTGAGGTCTCACATTGTTCAAACTTATAGGGGACACAACCTGCAAGTTTGTGGACTTAAGTGGTCACCCTGAAGATAACAATTAGGGAGTGGTGGAAACGATAATGTTGTCTACATATGGGATAGGTCGGTGGCTTCTTCAAATTCACCTATTCGCTGCCTTCGTAGGTTTGAGGAACATATAGGTGCTATGAAGGCACTGGCTTGGTGTCCTTATTAGGCTAATCTATTGGCATCTGGAGGAGGTGTCGATGATCAATGCATTAAGATATGGAATACACTTATGGGTCTATCGTGGCATCTCCTGCCGCATATGAGACTCTGAGATTCTGGAATCCCTTCGGAAGCCCACCAACAGACAAAGCAGCATCAAATCCACCGTTTGCAAATTTCAACCTTATCCAATAAAGGCAAGTTACTTATACTTATACTCTGTATACACATTTAGGCTCAAATATGCTATCTTTGGAACTGTGTTTGGCTCATGAGTTCATATGTTGTTCAGAAATACACTTCTAAAAACATGACGATTTATTAGTAGCGAGGTCAAGGCGTGATGGGAAGGAAAAGCACCGTAATGCTTGTTGACAGTGTTGGATCCGACATGAACTGGTGCAACTGGATTGTGCAAGGGATCACTCAGATATGGTTTGGGTGTGAGGCAGATGGTTATGTCAGCAGAATTGGTGAATCTTTTCTGCATTTTTCCATGACAGTTTGATGCAGATTGTGTTGGTGTCTTGTGTCGGTGCTATGTTTATGTATATGTATATGTTATGCATTCTTTATTTTTTTTATTTAATAAGTAATTATTTGTCTGCACTGAGATTAGTACTGTTATCAAGTTGTCTTCCTTGTAGTTGTATTGTTCCATGTTAATTTCAAAATATAATATTACTTTATTATTCATATACTTTCTCTTGAAGAAATAACTTTACAAATAAGTTTAGAAAATATACACCTTCATTGGCATACAAGAACAATAAATTCTTCAGACATCAAACGACACAAGTGCTTCCTACAAGTTGGTAACTGACTTTAGTTTTCACATGCTTTGCAACAAAGATTTTCCATTCATTCATTGGTAGTTCTATATTATAGATACACAAAATATTAATATTACACCAAAAATTAAAAACAAAATTCATTTTAAACTAGATGTTGACATGCATTATCTAATAATCACTTATTTAAAATCAATTAATTGATAAATTGATCTCATTTTATTTTAAAAATATGTCTTTGTTTTAAAAATAATAAAGTTTTTTGGTGTTGACATGCATTATCTCATAACCACTTATTTAAAATCAATTAATTGATAAATTGGTCTCATTTTATTTTAAAAATATGTCTTTGTTTTAAAAATAATAATTTTTTTAGTAAAATAATTTTGTTTTTCTTATTATATTTTATAAACAAATGTGCGTAACACATCACTACCTGTATAAACGTACGAATATTTCACTAGTTATACTCATAAAATCAGACTTTCTTACTAATTTAGCTAAAATGACTTATTATTTTTTATTAGAAAAAACTTTTCAACAACAAACACAATTAACACTCTTAAAGTTATTGTACCAAATTGATTTTTTTAAGTAAACAAAAATTAATCGAATAACCAATAACAAATCAACTATGGCCGCATTTTCTATATGAGAATTTTTTTTTTGTTAATTTTAGTTGGTTATACATAAATAATAGAGTTTGTCGGATTTTAAAGTTAATTTTAATATTTTTAGAAATGATGCTTCTCTAAGTATTATTTTATTTTATTTTTATTATCAATCATTAATACCCTTTAATTCTTTTCAAAATTGCTCATGGTCTATGTGACCAAGAATGAAACAAATAGCGCGTCCGCGTGCATTCTAGGGGCAAACTCTCTTTTTTCTATATAAACTTTATACTTTTTCTCTTCTTCTACTGTTAAGACTATAGAAAAATGGAATAGTTTTACTATTGTAATTTTGTGGATAAAAAGAGTTTTACTAATATTGTTATTTTTAATTAGTTAGTTACAACTTTCTAATTGGTTGTTAAGTGATAGCAACACACTATATATGGATAAGGCTATCACACTTGTAGTACAACAAACTATCATTCTTTTGCTCATTATCTTCTTCCCTCTTCTTTTTCATTTCTTGCTATTTTCTTCTTCAATGCTGAAATATTTCCTTCTTCAATGGTGAAATAACTTCACCACAATATGGTATCATTCGCCAATTCGATCCTTATTTTGTTGTTTTTCAATTGAAGCTCTATTTCGTGTGTCCTTCCCTCTGCATCCATGGCTCCTCCTCGAGTTTCACCTATTGATCCAGCTTTGGATCAAACTTCACCATTCTTCGTTCATCCCAGTGATGGCCCCGGTTCAGTTACAGTTTTTCCTAAGCTTATTGGCTCTAATTATCACTCATGGGCTCGAAGCATGAAGAGGGCGCTCGGTGGAAAAATGAAGATTGAGTTCATTGATGGATCTCTTCCTGCTCCTGTTGATTCTTTCGATCCATCCTTGCGTGCTTGGAATCGCTGCAACATGTTAGTCCATTCTTGGATCATGAATTCAGTTTCAGATTCCATTTCACAGTCCATCGTCTTCTTGGAGAATGCACTTGATGTATGGAATGACTTGAAAGAACGGTTCTCTCAGGGGCAATCTCATCTGTATTTCTGAGTTACAACAAGAAATATACAACCTCAAGCAAGAAACCAAATCGGTAACTGATTTCTTTTCTGAACTTAAAATTCTTTGGGAAGAATTAGATTTGTATTTGCCTTTACCAACTTGCACATGTTGCATCAAATGCTCTTTTGAAGCTATGCGCAGCGCAAGATCCAACCATCAACTAATGCAAGTTATCAGATTTTTGACTGATTTGAATGATCAATTTGCTGTTGTTAAGTCCCAAATTTTGTTAATGGATCCTTTGCCAAATATGAATAAGATATTCTCCATGGTTATTCAACATGAGAGACAACTTCAGCTTCCTATTTCCAATGATGAGTCCCAAACTTTGATTAATGCTGCTGATTCCAAGAAATATGGTGCAAGAAACAATACATTCAGGCATGGAGCTCGTGTCTGCACTTTCTGTGGCAAGAATAATCACACTGTTGAAAATTGCTTCAAGAAACATGGTTTTCCACCACATATGCAGAAGCAGTTTCAGAATTCAGCTAACAATGTTGCATCAGATGGCAATGATGATGGATCTTCTTCTAATGGTGCTGACATCAAAAGTGATAATTCACCTGTGACTTAAGGTCAATTCAATACTCTAATGGAGCTAATTCAAAAATCTAGCATTGGCCAATCTTCAGGATGTGCTTCTTCTAATCAAGTTGTTGTTGGTCATCTATCAACAGGTAACACCTCTCATTGCATGCATAGTAGTAGTAATAGTTCTTGGATCATTGATTCAGGAGCTTCTGATCATATATGTAGTTCTATCAGATGGTTTCACTCATATAAGCAAATTGTTCCAATCAGTGTTAGATTGTCAAATGGACAATGTCTTATTGCTAGTTATTCTGGTACAATTCATTTTTTCCCTGATTTCATTGTGCACAATGTCCTTTTGCTTCCTGAGTTTTCTTTAAATCTTTTATTTGTTTCCAAACTTTGTGAATCTTCTAATTGCAATATCAGTTTTCTCAACTCACAATGTTTTATACAAGACAAAGTCACCCTGGAGATGATTGGTTCTGCTAAGCAAAAGGATGGACTGTACTACTTAACACTAAGAGATAATGCTTCACCTGTTATAGCAACCACAATCACCTTACCTGAAAAAGCCTTATGGCATTTTAGATTAGGACACTTATCCAATAACATACTTTTGTACCTACATTCCCAATTTCCCTTCATCACAGTTAACCATAAAGATGTTTGTGATGTATGTAGTTATGCTAGATAAAGAAAACTTTCCTATACTATTAGCAATAATAGAGCTGCTCATCCTTATGAATTGATTCATTTTGATATTTAGGGACCTCTTGCTGTCCAATCCTTGCATGGTCATTCATATTTTTTAACTGTTGTTGATGATTGTAGCAGATTCACATGGATAACCTTAATGAAAGCTAAGTCTTAAGCTAGACAGCATGTCAAAAATTTTGTCAGTCTCATAGAAAATCAACATCAGTTTTCTTTCAAAATTATCAAAACTGATAATGGTGTTGAATTTCATATTCCTGAATTTTATGCTTCTAATGGAATCATTCATCAGACCAGTTGTGTTGAATCTCCACAACAAAATGGTAGAGTGGAGAGGAAACATTAACATTTATTAAATGTTGGACGAGCCCTTCTCTTTCAGTCCAAGCTTCCCAAGAAATTTTGGTCATGTGCTATTTTGCATGCCACCTTCATTATAAATAAACTCCCTACCCAAACTTTAAATAACCTTTCTCCTTATTTCATACTACATAATGAGCATCCAGATATGCATAGTCTCAAAGTGTTTGGATCTTTAGCTTTTGCATCCTCCTTAAATATGCATAGATCAAAACTTGATTAAAGAGCTCGCAAATGTGTTTTCTTAGGATACAAGAATGGAATGAAGGGTGTGGTACTCTATGATATTAATAATCATACCATTCTTGTCTCTAGAAATGTCATACACCATGAACACATATTTCCCTATTCAAATACCAATTCTATTAACTGGGACTATCATCTTCACAAAGAATCCATTGACTCACCTCAACATGTTCCATCACAGAATATTGAACCTATTATTGAAGAACATGATCATCACAATACCATAGCCAATGACACATTATATCACTCTAACACTCACCCTGAAACTGTAGAAAACACTGATGAGAACCATGACCTTCAACATATGCCTGATACTGAAAATTTCAAAATTCAGTCTAGAGCTGTTAGAACCAAACAGACACACCATTATCTCTCAGATTATATGTGCAATACATCTGATGTATCAGCAGTCAAGTCATCATCAGGTACATCCAAAGCTATTTATCCAATTTCAAATCATGATTCATTACATTTTCTGTCTGCATCTCATTGTGCTTTTGCATCTAATATCACTCTCATTCATGAGCCAAACACTTACAAAGAAGCATGTCTATCCGAACATTGGACCAAAGCCATGAAGACTGAATTAGATGCATTAGACAAGAATAGAACTTAGAATATAGTTGATTTGCCACCACATATCAAACCAATTGGTAACAGATGGGTGTACAAAGTGAAGCATAGAGCAGATGGCACGATAGAGAGGTATAAAGCGCGACTTGTGGCCAAAGGCTACAATCAAATCGAAGGACTTGATTTTTTGACATATTTTCACCAGTAGCAAAGCTTACAGCTGTCAGAACCCTCCTTGTGACTGCAGCTATCAACAATTGGTTTTTACACCAACTTGACGTTAGCAATGCTTTTTTACACGGGGAATTGAAAGAAGATATGTACATGACCATACCTGAAGGGGTTCCATGTCACAAACCTAATCAGGTATGTAAACTTCAGAAGAGTTTATATGGTCTGA